ACTTACTATTTGGGTTTAAGTAAGGCTCACTGTTCCTAAAGTGCAAAATCTTACATGACAGCTTGAATATAAAGTTTCATTTTTGCCTAATATTTTCAAATGAAAGGCTATAGCTCATTCTTTAACAGTTATTAGTACTTTAATGTTAATTAATTCTAATTAATATTTCCAATTTAAACCTAAAATATTGGGCTGGAAGCACAGCTTAGTACTATACCATTTACTTAGCTTATATAAGGCTCAGAGGTGTGGGATGGAGTCAGGGAGAGGGGGAGGGAAAAGGAGAGAGGGAAGGAGACTGTAAGAGCTAAGGATGCAGCTCAGTGATGGAGTAACTTGCCTACAATGGTCAAGGCCCTAGGATTTATTCCCAATCAATACAAATAAATAATAAATAAGTATAATCATATATATATATATATATATATATATATATATATATTCTTCCAACATTTTCTGACAAGCTTAAGAAAAAAATTAAATAAATACAATGTATACATAATCTCGAAGCATCAAATATTCTGCTTAGAAACAGCCAATTTATGATTCCCGGCTTTCATTACAACACAGATATTTCAGATGCACAAAAGGGCTCTACTTTATGCAGAATAAAGATACAATACACTTCCTATGGAGGTTTTAACAGAAGCACTAAGAGTCTAAATGCAACCTTCTCAAAATACTTCTTTAATTCAAACCGAAACTTTTTTTTTTCTTGTGTTAAGCACTGAAGCAGACCACCTGCACTGTAGGCGCGCAGTCTACCATAGAGCTGTACCCCTGGCCTCTCCAGTCTGAAACTCTATACAGCAACTCAAAGCTCTTCCAATTAAGAACACGATAAGGAAGTGTCAACCAGCGATGATGGTGCTTGCCTGTAATCCCAGGACTGGGGACCTAAGAGGCTGGACGATTCAAGGCCAGTCTGGTCTAACGAGGGAGATCCTGTCTCAAAAGAGAGAGAAACAAAAGTAGGGAGGAGGCTTGGGAGATGACTCAAAGGCTGAGAGCACTTGCTGCTCCTCTGGAAGACTGAGCTCTGTTCTCAGCACCCACATTAGGTGCCTTACAGCCACCAGTAACCAGCTCCAGGGGTATGGGACACCTCTTTTTATAAAGAGGAGAAAGAATTTTAAGAGCAAGAAAAACTTAAAATGTAATGAGAACTGGATCTATCAGAAAATAATTTAAAGGCACATTTCACCTATTGCTACAAAACACATAAAAATGACTGCTGACTCCTTGTCTGTGAAAATTAAAGCTACTGTACAAGAGCACCTTCCCAGTAAAGAGGCAGCAGCTTCCTTCGGCCAGGAAGCTTCCCTTGTCTCAAGGCAAAGGCTTGAGTGAGACAGGCACACAGACCTCGATCTGATACTTTCACTTTCTTTGAGAAAGGCTAATTTCTTCATCGGGCCCCCAAAATGCTAGAATAATCCATTAAGTCATGTTTGGCATAGTTTAATTAAATTTCTGCCACATAATTTTATGGATATTGCACCATCCCTAATTTCTGAACAATTGGGTCATTTCCAATGTTGCAGTTCAGCAGTGATTCTAAAAACGTAGTTCTCTAAGCCAGCTTGGTGGCACATGCCTATAATCCCAGCTCTTAGGGAGGCAAAGTCAGGCAGATCTCTGAGTTCAAGGCCAACCCAGCCTACAAACTGAGTCCAGGACAGCCAAGGTTAAATAGAGAAACCCTGGCATGAAAAACCAAAAAAAAAAAAAAAAAAAAAGAGTTCTCAGACCCACAAGGGACCTGGAAACTTTTTTAGCACTTTGTAGCTCAAAGTGCTCCTCATTATGTAACCTGAGTGTCAGTCAGACTTTCTCCAGTCACTGACTTGAGTGTTGGTGCAGGGACAGACAGCAGGAGCTTGTCTGCCTTAGCCTACTTGTATTCTTACCAACTAGCACTGACAGTTTAAACATTTTTATTATTTTATGTGTGATGTGTGCTTTTGTTTGCATGTATGTCTATGTACTACGTGTTTGCCCGGTGCCAGCGGGATCCAGAGGGAGTCAAATCTCTTAGAGCTGCATTACAAATAGTTGTGAGCGGCCAAGTGGGTGCTGGGAATAAAATCCAAGTACTTTGGAAGAGCAGCCATCTCTCCAGTCCCAGCACTGACAGTGCTTAAAGGCAACTTCACTTAATGTCCTTGATGAGCATTAAGAGCTTATTTATTTTCTTAAATTATCTATTCCCTCAGTCTTTGAAAAGTCTGCACACATCTCAATAAGAAGAGTTACGTTATTGAAAGTGCATGAAACAATATTTCCAAAGTAGAAGTAAGCTAGTGTCATTAACAAAAGCCAGTAAATATGCTGGTAGAGAAAGAGAAGGCAAAGATATGCAGTAGGGAGATTAACTTCATTAAGTTGAATGAAATAAGCAAATCACTACAGAAAAAGTGTGATTCTATTTACCTAAAGTTCAAAGATATAAAACTATAAAAAAGATTATCCCGAAAGTCAGAAGAGTCAATTAAAAGGGAAACAGATATAGCTAATAGACATACTATACTTGCTAACAGGTTAATGTGAATGGGCAAAAGTTTGCTTGCTTTGTGCACTTTGCCATATGCATATTGAATATTAAAAATGAGTGGCCTAGTTATAATTCACCTTCGTTAAGTGTTTTGATACCCAAAAATGCTCATAGACATACTAAAAAGATACACCTTTTTAGAGTTTTACTTTAAAATGCTACATTTTTATTCTAAACCCAGAAAATAACTACCTTTATTTACATTTAAACTGTACCAACCAGCTTTGCACAAATATGATTACTTTGTGACTAAGCATCCAGAATATAGTTGATGCATCATGTAAAGCTACCTTTCTATCTTGAAAATTTCAAATTTACAGTACATAAGATTATATATACCAAGAACACACAAAGTTAAAAAAAAAAAATGGGTGTGGAGGAGGTTGAGACACTCTACAGAGCCCTGACTATCCTAGAACTCGCTTTGTGTCTCCACTTGGCCAAAAAAAAAAAACAAAAAAAAAAACAAAAACCTGACAAAAGAAAAAAACAAAACTATGAAACTATGGCCCACGTCAGTAATTAAGGAAGTAGAGTGCCAGGAGGGTCAAGAGTTCAAGGTTATCTGATTCTCTACTACCTAGTGAGTTCAAGGCCAATCTGTCACCAGTGTCAGCACCTACTTAAGCCATAAATGAGGCAGTTGAACCCTCTCCAATCAGTAATACTAAATTTTAATTCTTATGGCTCAATTTAAACTTCCCTTCAACCTTACGGAAAGAGAGCAGCAGGGATAAGTACATAATCAGGTTCCCAGGCCTCCCTGAACCCTCTCTCTCTGCCATTCTCCTTAAGCCCTACTTTTTAATCATAGTACAAAAGTGGCAGCAAGCAAAGTAGCACATGCCTGCAATCCCAGCCCTTGAAAGCGGAGGCAGACTAGAGTTCAAGACCAGCAGCCTAGCAAGACCCTATCTCAAAACACCCATGAAAAGAAACGGATACATGACCAACGTCTACTTTATTTCAAGTGCAGCAACTTCTCAATATAAAGAAATCAAATTCTTCTGTTTAGTAAACATGCTCTTAGTTTGCTTGCTTGTGTCCTCCTTGATTTTTCTCTTATGGATCACTAATCTTAAAAAGGAAAAAAAAAAGTAAGAAGATGTCGGTTTTTTTTTTCAGTCCAAACTTAAGCAAATACAGCCTTTGCTTAGTCAAAAGCCAACCAAACCTGCAATATGCAAACAAGGATGAGGAAGGGTTCACAGCTGAACTGGCAAAATGTCTGTGTTTCTTACCTTCCTTATAAGACCACAACACTGAAATCTACTAATACCAAGAAATTTCAAAAGAGCAAGAAGTAACACCACCCTTTTTGCCGTCCCTTTCCAATCTACCAGGACTCATGCACTCAGAAAGCTAGAGCCAGTTCTCCCCAAACTAGCCAGAAATCATTCTGGTCAACAATAAATGACAGCAAACTTGATTTCAAAAAATTCTTCCTAATCATTATATACTCAGAGTTTACTTTTACCCAAATGTTGGGTTCACAAGTGTTTCAGAAGTAAAACACTGCTGCACAGCGAACATATACTTGCCAACCAAATATAACAGCTTCAGTGATGACAAATAATTCAAGAAAAGACTGAGCTACCTCCTCGTAACAAAAGGTGTTTAGCTACTTCTTTAATTTAAAAACAAAAAACATCAAAAGTTGACACTAATAATAAGAGGAAGGGCAGCGCTTTACTGTCCTTCACACAAACTGAAGCAGCACACAATTCCTTCTGAAGCAGTTTCACTTGGGAAGTGGATCTCCTCAGCAAGCTCCTGTGTCCCAGAAGGCTTCGCTTCCCTGGAACACTGAATGAATTAGTCTAGACCTGCTTCCCCTGACCATAGAGCTCTTGTTCACTTGAGATAGGCTCCATTTAGTTTTTAAGCCTCTCTTTGCTCTTCAAAGTAAAATATCTTGCATAATTTATTAACTTTAAAAAAAAAAAAACAACAACAGAGCATAGACTGGTCTGTGAGCAATACTTATGACTAAATTGACCCAAGATTTCAGCTTTAATTAAAATGTTGTAACAAAGCCATTGTTTCTGATTTTTTTTTCCAACATCCGAATCTCATGAGTAATGCAGTTTAATAAAGAGTCACTCTCAGCCAGCCCCACAAAAACAGTTAGGTTTATTTTAATTAAAACTTGGTCAAGTTTGCTTTGCGGGGGTGGGGGCTCTCCTTATCTGAAGTTAGGAGAGGAAAAAATACCAAGCACATACATAAATATACAAAATGCATGCGTTAGGGGTTAGAGCTAGGACTTTTCAGGTTTGAATGCTTTGTTGCCTGTGGCTGTGAAGGGCAATCGGGCATGTGACTCACTACACGTATTTTACCAGAGTTAAAGAATACATTCGGCTACATTCTGTCACAGGTAAGAACCACGTCCATTTATCAGCCCCAAAATAGCCAGAAGCAAACACACAAAATCACAAGTTACCTTTAAACTTTGTCTTCAGGTTTCGTCCTCTGGGCTTGAAACTAAAAAGCAACCGGGCGAGTTTTGTGCTGTTAAAATGGCTCCTGTAGATTGGGGAAGTGGTGTCTGCTTCAGCTTATGACTCACACATGAAACTAAGTGTTTCTAAGGGAGGCACGCCCATGTTGCTGTGGACCCAATTATTCTGCTAGGTCAAACATGCAAATGCACAGGTAAAAGGAGGGAGGCATAGGACAGGAGAGAGACAGGAGCAAGATCTACCCCGTTTAAACTCTCACTAACTCATGCTAATTGCCATATTTTAAAATTAACAGTATAAAATAGAATGACAAGCTACAAGAAAGTAAAATTAACACATCAAATAAATACAACTATAAAAGCAAAAAAGTGAGAGGAGATGAAAGAGAGAAATAAACTGTGTCTCTTGCTACAGCAATTGACAGGTGCGTCTAACCTAGCTACTCATTAACCCTTATATGAAGGGATATATGGCTATGTAATCTGGAAAAGCTAGCAAACTGTAATAGCAGATGCAGACTTACAGGTTCTCTAAACAGATAAAATTCACTAGGAAATCCAAAGTTCAGTGGAAAAATAAGTGTCAATTAATGTGGCTAAAAGAACTTTTAAAGATTCATGCTTTAAAGTCCAACACAGCAAAACAATTCTAAGTAGAATTGAAAGGTTGATAAATACTCCCCTTTTAAAAGTTACCAAGGCAATCATAGTTCACAACACTTTCATTTTCAAGAGGGAACCACAGCTCCGCCGGTGGAACAAAACTATCTGCATGTACCATGAGCCTGCAGCGCCAGGCTCCCTTCACCAACACCGCGGCACTGAACACAGGCTAATCCAGTGGGTGAACCACGATAGCAATGCCCTCCAGATCACCATCAACAAGGCACTCAAGCCACCAAAACATTACCACAACTGTTTACCCTGGCCCCTCCGTGAGCATATTTTAATTTATTCGACAAAACTAATGAATCATGGCTATTTATTCTATTTCACTGAAGAGTTCCTTTTTACTAAAATAATCTCTGGGGCTCAGTAAATTAATTTTCAACAATGCAAAAGAAAAGAATAACTAGATTTTGACTGTCAAATGTCCTGTTTAGCTCACTTAATGTAGAATAAATATTCAGCACCCACACATCAAGGAACAAGCTTCGCCGACAGGCAATGGAAGTCCACTGTTTACCAGAAAGCTCACCAACTTTTTTTCATTTTCCACAGCTGAATTTTTTATAAGCTAATCAGAAAAAGAAATTATAAAAATAAAAAGTAAAAGGATGACCTAAAAATAAACAAATAGCAACTGACTTTTAAAATTACAAACAAACAAACAAAAACCAAGTTGGAGTAGGGGGCTGGGAAGACAGCTGTTAGTGGAGTACTAGCAAGCACGAAAGCTTGAACGTGATAGCCATCACCGTGTGACCACTTGGGCCAGGGGTTAGGATGTAGTCAAGTGCTTGCCTGACAAGAATAATGTCTGGATTTCGATGCCCAGTAAAGCAGAAGAGGGAAAACAGGAAGAGTTGTGGAGCTCACTCTCCAGCTAGCCTAACCTACCTTGTCTCAAAAACAAGCTGGGTGGTTCCTGAGAATTAGCACCCTGTGTTGACCTTTGCCTTCCACGTGCAGGTGAGCACACACACACATACACACAGGAACACAGAAGGCACTTGGAACAGAGTTCAGTGGCACACGCCTGTAATTCTAGCTACTTAGGCTGGGGCAGGGACAATGCAAAGCCAAATCAAGCCGGGCTATATAGCAAGTTCAAAAACAGTCTTTGTTACATAGCGATAGATAGATAGATAGATAGATAGATAGATAGATAGATAGATAGATAG